GTCGGGCTTTGGATGCACTCTTTATGAAGTGGATTTTTATATTGTGAGTACTGTTGGGTCTCTTGAGCTCTCGCAATGTTTGACAGTCACTTGGCCTCTTGAGGTAAATTTAAGGATAACTGTGAACTGTTCAAACATCTGCTTATCTCTTCCTCCCTCCAGAGTTCGACAGGGAGTTTTTCCCAGAAGTTGTGGCTGGGTGTAGCTGCTACATCCGTGTCTCTGTATCGACAGGGAGAGGCCGAGGCCCTGGAGTCCTTCCCCTACGGCCAGATCTGTTCCTACGGGGTATCTGACAGCAACACCTTCAAAATCACAGCTGGGGATCGGGATCTGATGTTTGAAACCACCAAGGTATAGTGACTCACGCCGAAGTGGCAACATTCATGTGTGAAAAGTGACCAAATGCAGAAGTGCCTTAAACCTGCCTTTTCTCTAATGACTAGCCAGAGGCGACTCCACTGTTTGCAAAAGAAAGTCTGATTGTATAGAATTCTATGAGAAATGACCTGACTTCATTTGATTTATTAACTCGGTAATCATTTTCCTAATGAGTTCATAGTCTTATTTGCATGTTTTTGTCTTTTTCAACAAATCATTTGTGATTGATGGATCATTACCAATGTGTTTCTGGTTTAGTTGCTCCATGTTTGCATTTTAGAATTTAGAACTGAAATATTGAAACGTCCAAAATGCCAAACTTGAGGCTTCAAAATCATAGTTCATAAACCAATGGGTGACGTCAAGTTGAATGCATTGATTTCTTATACACTCTATCCTCAAGCACCGGGTTGATGTCAGTAAAATGTATTATTATTCGAGCTGTGTTTCCACCAAGCTTAGAAACAATATATCTCCACGGCAGGATTAAATCTTTGGACGGTGCACGGCCAATTGGCCTTATCACCGGGCAGTGTTCTGCAGAGCAAGAGAAAGAAGCACGCTGTCTACTTAAGAAATTCCCCTCCCTCCAGCTCTATGACCCACTTTAAAAACACTCATTAATTTGGTCTAAATAGAGAGCACACAACTTGCCCCTGGTCTCCAGCCGATGCTTGCCACCAAAAGTCCAACTTCCTGGCTTTAAAGGGCAACTGGGGGGGAGTTTTATTACAGTGGTCAGATTAAAATATTAGCCAACCTTTCTCAGAAACATGGATGTTCTTCCAAGCAGACTTTTTTTCACTAGAGAACAAATCTTGCCTTTCACAGGGCAGATTTGCCCTCATCTTCCCACTCGGAACAAAAAATCCCTCTGTGATCTCTCATGGGCACAAAAGTGGCTTTTATTTATTTATGCGATGCACAGGCGATTTGAAGCAGAGCCCAGTAAGGCTCATATTTTTATGAAGGTGAGGCCTCATATTGCTCTCACATAAATGTACCATATATTTGAGCTACTGAGCAAGTGAAATGGATTTGCAGGGGGTTATTATGGTTTGGCCAGGAGTAAAGGGTGAGGGCGAGATTAGCTGCTCATTCATGGGTTACAGTAAAAGTTAAAAAGTAGGTGTAGGTTCAAACCCGGAGACTGTTTTAGTCGGTGTTGTCACACACCATGTTTAGGCAAGCATTAGCAGGAGCAAAGTAAGGGTATTGGTCATGGTGGCTTGTGATGGTTTGGTGGTCATGTCCACCAAGGTCAGGAAAACTGAGAGGGATGAACTCCTCCGCAGTGCCCTTTCTTTTTTCTGCAACAGCTGCATAATAAAACGTGTCAGTGATATAATGTGCACACACATTTAAGGCCTCCATTTTCTGATCAAGGGGGTTCTCTCTGTGTTCTCCAAAATCTTCACAAAAAAGTCATCCTCTGCTTTTAGGAAACTTTTTTTTTCTATTTTATTTTTCAAATGTATGACATCATCCGTCTCCACCCTCCTGTGACAGCGCCAGACAGACACTGAGACTGCCACTAATCTGACCTCTCTCTCTCCCTCCCTCTGTCACAGCTGACTGAGATCATGCAGCTGATGAATGCGTATTTCAGTGCCATCCGTCGCCAGCGAGGGAAGGGGGAAGATGCAGACATCACCAAAACAAAATGTACAGAGGTGGGCTTCTGTCACCTGGCCTCAACACACACACCCACCCTCCTGGAGCTGCCCTCGCACCCAGTCTGAGAGGGACCCATACCCGGACACCCATAGCCACCCCACACTCCTCCTCCACGTGGCCCCTATGAGGCCCTGCCCCAGTCCTCAGGACACCACGCCTCCTCCACTGGGAACGGCACGGCAGCCAAAACAAAGAGAGGGCTGTTTTCACTCCCCATCCGTGAAAATAAACCCTTGCTGAGCTTTCCAGCTGAAGGAGCTGGCCGATGGAAGGGGGAGGTGGAGGGGGAGGCGGGAAGTTAAGTTGGTTCTGTTTTGCAAATGAGACCAGAAACCCACAGAAACCAATGCGGTTGCTGATGAGCTGTCAAACACCCTCCACCCCATCCTGTCACGCAACCACCCTTGTTACCCAACATGGCGAAACCCCACCCCTCGACAATGTGAGACGTTAGCGTGAGCCCTCTATATCGGGGAGACACAGCATCACAAGAGTTATGACATCAATGAACTGTGGTACTCTCTCGTGAAGGTATGGCTGAGAGTGAAATCGCAGCTCCTTAGCTCGTCTTTGTTTCTTACTTTCGATGTGTGCCATATTCATATTGCCTTTCCTACAAGGCAGTCGTCCCTCATGCACTGCTGGAAAAGTGTTGAGAACATTCAGTGACACACACACGCCCTCCCGCCTTGGCTCTAGCTTTTTCACTCACGCATACACAGTTTCTCCCTCACGTGCCCTTATGCTGACATGTTCTTCAGAGGCAGTCAGTTTTCATAAGGTCCCGGCTGGGTTTGCATTACCTGGAACTGTTGATGCAGTCAGCCATGTGAACTTGGAACTGGAAACAGATGTTGAACTCTTAGGCTAAGTCACTTGGGCTGCGATTGCCATATAGACTCTTACCCTCGGGATTATCAGTGTGTGTCTCCACCATTTCCTGGATTTCCCATTCAGGATCTGAGTTTCTCACAGAAACCAAAGGTTTTGGAGCTGTTTCTACATCGTTTCCACCAAATGCTCTCATGTGTCCTTTGTTGTGCTGCTTGTCTTGGCTGTAATCCTCGACACGAAACTTGGTTAACACTTGACTGATTGAATTATTTTGCTCATGTCAGTTACCATCCTAATGCAGCTCTACTCTGCTGAAAATAACAGGTGCTTCTCTTTATGTTCACAATGTGTATATATAATGGGAAACTCTAAACTCAGAGGACACATAAAACCCCTAGTCAGAGATATCGATCATTTAAGAAGTGATGCCATATTTTCCTTGAAGTTCCCATCCGTCCTCAACTATTTAAGCAAAAACATTTTTTAATCAGGCCATGGATGCTTCTGTAGTATTATTTATGCAACTTTTTTTTAATGTTCTTTGTGTCCTAAATGCAGACCCAGTTTTTTTTTGTAACCAAAAGCCAAAAGGTGCTTTTGGTTCTGCTCCTTAAAGCAGTTCAGAGGTGTAAATCCTGTGTAGCTCCATCTTTGTGTTCATTGTTGGAGTATTCTTGCGAAGCCAAAGTTTTACCAGTCATGGTTTAGAGCATGGACCAAAGATGTTATTTTTTTAAATAAGCTTTTATAACAAGAAATGTTCCCAAAGCAGATAAAGATCCCCTGATTTATATTTGACTGTTTTCCCATTTATAATTTTTTCTCTAAACTTCAATGTCAAACAAAAATAGAGACATCCTGTTGCATACATTGTCCACTTTATTTTTAATGTAGTAATAACCTTTTAAGAATCCGAGACCATAGATAGGCTTTGTAAATATAATTTTAGAGTTCTGTCTTCAACACAACCCCATGTGATAACCAGCCTCAAAAGTTGAATCCCCTCACCATGAAAGGCCTTGACGAGTCGTTGCACAGTCAGCCTGCCTCCCGCTCAGAGGCAGCTCTTTTTCTACCGCAGCTGCAGGCAGCTCCAAGCTACAAGAATGAAAATAAAACAAATCAAAGTGCGGATGTTGTTGCTTTGTATTAAGCTTGTTTGTATGCTGCATGGTACCTTTTTAATGTGTGTGTATAGTTAAATGCACTATTGTTTGTTTTTAACTAGCTTGGAAGTGCAATAAAAACTATAAATACTGTATGTAATTAATAAAACAGCACCATTTTACCATATTTAATGTTTGGTTCTGTTGTTCAGCTTGAGCACTCATTTCCTTTTTCCTTTAATACAAATAGTGCTTTCTTTAGCCTTGACTAGCAAAGCAGTGTAAGACTATTGTTCTCAACCAGACGTTTTATAAAAGCCAGCAGCAGAGCAGAGAGCTGCCTCCCCGGAGTTATTCTGGTCACAAACAATGGTCGGTCAGGCAATGGCTGCTAAGTGCCTTTACGTTCCCGTGTGGTAATGAGCCTGAACTGAGGGAGATGAACGGCCACTAGTACACTGCAGCTCCAGGTGAGAGGAAAAGCATTTCATCATTTTGTAGCTTGGAAGCAAAACCAACCCTTAAAGGGGCACTACTATTCTGCTCATTTTCAGGTTCCTATTTGTATTTTGTGCCTCTGTGACATGTCTAAAGTTCAGAAAGCTCTTTATTTGTCTCATACAGCCTGTGCTGCAGCACCTCTTTTCACCCTCTGTCTGAAACCAGAGCCCAGTCTGCTCTGATTGGTTAGCTGGGTGGCTCTGTTGCGATTGGTCGACTGTCTGGAGATGTCCCTCCCCTTAGCATGTCACGCAAAATTAGTTGAAGCTCTGGCCAATAGAAGTGCAAATGTTACATAGTGATGTCATTATGTTACATAAGTACACAAAGGAGTCAAATTGAGGCTTTTCAGGCCGGGGGAGGGAGGGAACATAGGGAAATGTAGACTTTGCAGACCATTTACAGGCACTAAAACCTATATACCACACTACAGGAAAGGGGAAACCCTGAAGTCTCTGAACATAAAACATTCCCAGTTTGCTTCATATACCACTAGAAACATTTCAAATACAAAACGTGTTTATTAACCATTTCAAACAGGTCCAACAAACAAAAGTATATTCATTTAAGACAATACAGAGAATGTCAGTGATGAGCTATTCTTTGCAGCATATATACAAGCATGGAGATGAAGTGTACACTATGTTCGTCTGTGCAAATTGTACTCGGCCAATGCTGTTAAAATGTCCAAGCCGTTTAATTTATAGCATGTATTTTAACATTTTTGGCTCAAGCCCAACTTGTCTTGACATTCTTGTTTTTGTACAGCAGTAAAAAAAGATCAATGTTTATCAGCAGCAAACAGATGACGGCCCGATGACAGAAATGTCTGGGATGCAAGAACCTGCGTTACCCATCATGCAACATATTCTGTCAACCGTACTGTCAGTATTCAAGGCAATCAATTTGTGTGGGGTGGTAGTTTTACTGTAACTAAACTGCAAAAAATACTGTATTCAGTATAAAAATAGACCAAAGCAAGGCAACACATGTTCTTGCAATGCTGAAAACCAAAAGGCTACAAGGCGGGAAATATGAGTTTAAGGGAAACTAAAAAAAACTATTAACAGACAGTTATGGATCATTTTATATAAGACAGATCAATGTTTTCTGCACATACTTGTAAGAAATGAATGTTGACTTTCACTTCACTGGACTGTTGGCAAGGATTATTATATTTAAACTAGGTTTAAGAATCTCCAGGATGTGATCCAGCTCAGAAAAGGTGATTTTACTTTTTGGTTAATATAATTACAGAGGCTGTTTCCACTCATTTTCTTGTTTACATTTTGATACAGAAACATTATATTTACTGCTATAACAAGCCAATAAATATGTATTTCAGAGATGCAACTATAGCCAAATATCTGTCTCTTTAGGGACACCTATATGTAGGAGAACGTGTTTGAAAAGAGGAGAAATGAGCTAATCGTCTATGGTATTTCAGAGATTGAAGTCAGTGCGTTCACTGCTCTTGCGCGCCCCAGGAGATGTAATCAGGCCTCGTGGCTGCGTGGTACTCGTCTATCAGCTGCTGGACCACTTCCCGAGAGTTGTCCAGCTCGTCAAAGTTCTCCTTGAATATGTCCTCTTTGCGGAACTGTTCCAGGAAGGCTTCTCGCTTACGCAGTTTGTCGTACTGCTTGCACGTCCGCTCAAACAGCTGTGGGACAGAAACACAGGAAATCAAAACCAAAACTAATACCTGGAAAGTTTCAGGAACTTATTCTGACTTCTCTAAACCATTGATACTTTTTGTTTTGCTTTTATGTACACTGAATGGAAATATATGATTACATTTAAAGACTAAAAAGGAAATTGGGAAAGAGCTTCATTTAGGCTTGGAAATCAAGCTGTCCTTAAAGGCTTTCTTTGTTATAAATCACAGGACTAAACTTTACAAATCATCTTTTAAACCGGGAAAAAAACCATCTATAGTTTCAAGGAATTTCACAGCATGACAATCCAAAACCTAATTCTTGTGGAACTCCCCTCTAACTGCTGCTGTGGTCTCGTAGCTTCAGTTTTAGGACAATGGCGGCCTGCAGCCCTGACTCACAGCTCAGGTCTAGACTGCAGGAACACACACTGCAGCAGAATGTAGCGGAGCAGGCTGAGCACTTACCGAGGCGATGCTTGTGTGGTTGGCCATCATCAGGCCGCTGACCCTGTGGGCAGAGGGCAGGTACGGGGACTTCCTGGACAGAGCCACCTGGATGCTGGCGGGGCCCCAGGGGATGAAGCTGGCCAGCTTACGCTCCCGGATCCTTTGGAGGCTTTTATGCACCTACGGTAGTATGAGAAGTTGACCTATTGTGAACCATTGTGCATTATGTTTTGTTACTGGATGTGGATATTGTGTACACCACTGCACGTTGTATGCTGCTGTGGCCATCTTTGTCTCTTTTCCCATTGGTTGGGTTTTACTGGTTCCCTCTTATATTTGCACATATATGTGTACAAAAGAAAGTCTATATGGCCTGCGCTCCCAAGATAATAATAAAGCTTTATTTATATGGCACTTCTCATACAACACATTCAGCTCAAAATCACACATCACAAATAAAAAATAAACAACAAGAAATTCCCCTCAGATTATTTGTTAAGAACTTTAAAAGGTACATGCAGCAAAATATAACATGTTATCAGGTTAATAGACACAAGGAGGTCAAATGTATGATTATACAAATAAAATAAATAGTGGTTTCTCTTTGACAGATAAGACACAAGACAATCGATGCAACAATATCAAATATAAAAGATTTGTATAAAGATGTTATTCAGATGCTGGTTCCTAAAGTGAGAACAGATCTGGGTAAAAAAGCTTTTAAAGATGCTGCCCCTGATGCTTGGAACAATGTTCAGAAGGAGCTGAAACTCTCAGATTGGATCACTATGGGGGAGTTTAATTCCATCTTAAAGGACAGAGAACAGGACACCATTGGTCGATGTGATTGCTCTTATATCCCATAATTGAAGTCGTTTTAACATTTTGCCAGTTTTTTATGTTTCATAACAGTTTATTTTGACCGGTTAATGTGCCATTTCATTTGTGTTTTATGACAGCTGTATTCGTCTGCCTGTATTCAATTTATGTTCATTTGTTGTAACATTGTTCATGCTGCCTTATTGGCCAGGTTGCTCTTTAAAAACAGATTTGAATCTCAATGAGACTTTTACCTGGTTAAATAAAGGATATACATACAGTGGGGCAAAAAAGTATTTAGTCAGCCACCAATTGTGCAAGTTCTCCCACTTAAAAAGATGAGAGAGGCCTGTCATTTTCATCCTAGGTCCACTTCAACTATGAGAGATAGAATGGGGGGGAAGAATCCAGGAAATCACATTGTAGGATTTTTAATGAATTAATTGGTAAATTCCTCTGTAAAATAAGTATTTGGTCACCTACAAACAAACAAGATTTCTGGCTCTCACAGACCTGTAACTTCTTCTTTAAGAGCCTCCTCTGTCCTCCACTTGTTAACTGTATTAATGGCACCTGTTTGAACTCGTTATCAGTATAAAAGACACCTGTCCACAACCTGAAACAGTCACACTCCAAACTCCACTATGGCCAAGACCAAAGAGCTGTCAAAGGACACCAGAAACACAATTGTAGACCTGCACCAGGCTGGCTGGGAAGACCTGAATACTGATCTGCAATAGGTAAGCAGCTTGGTGTGAAGAAATCAACTGTGGGAGCAATTATTAGAAAATGGAAGACATACAAGACCACTGATAATCTCCCTCGATCTGGGGGCTCCACGTAAGATCTCACCCCGTGGGGTCAAAAATGATCACAAGAACGGTGAGTAAAAATCCCAGAACCACACGGGGGGACCTAGTCAATGACCTGCAGAGAGCTGGGACCAAAGTAACAAAGGCTACCATCAGTAACACACTACGCCGCCAGGGACTCAAATCCTGCAGTGCCAGACGTGTCCCCCTGCTTAAGCCAGTACATCTCCAGGCCCGTCTGAAGTTTGCTAGAGAGCATTTAGATGATCCAGAAGAGGATTGGGAGAATGTCATATGGTCAGATGAAACCAAAATAGAACTCAACTAGACGTGTTTGGAGAAGAATGAATGCTGAGTTGGATCGAAAGAACACCATACCTACTGTGAAACATGGGGGTGGAAACATCATGCTTTGGGGCTGTTTTTCTGCAAAGGGACCAGGCGACTGATCCGTGTAAAGGAAAGAATGAATGGGGCCATGTATCGTGAGATTTTGAGTGACAACCTACTTCCATCAGCAAAGGGCATTGAAGAGGAAACGTGGCTGGGTCTTTCAGCATGACAATGATCCCAAACACACCGCCCGGGCAACGAAGGAGTGGCTTTGTAAGAAGCATTTCAAGGTCCTGGAGTAGCCTAGCCAGTCTCCAGATCTCAACCCCATAGAAAATCTTTGGAGGGAGTTGAAAGTCTGTGTTGCCCAGCGACAGCCCCAAAACATCACTGCTCTAGAAGAGATCTGCATGGAGGAATGGGCCAAAAATACCAGCAACAGTGTGTGAAAACCTTGTGAAAACGTTTGACCTCTGTCATTGCCAACAAAGGGTATATAACAAAGTATTGAGATGAACTTTTGTTATTGACCAAATACTTATTTTCCACCATAATTTGCAAATAAATTCTTTAAAAATCAGACAATGTGATTTTCTGGATTTTTTTCTTCTCATTTTGTCTCTCATAGTTGAGGTATACCTAGGATGAAAATTACAGGCCTCTCTCATCTTTTTAAGTGGGAGAACTTGCACAATTGGTGGCTGAATAAATACTTTTTTGCCCCACTGTACATACAAGGAATGTACATAGCTGTTTGTCTTCACATTTAGAGCTTTTATCTAATAACTGCTAACCTGAATCGTATACTGTGCATGTGTACCTGTGTGGGGTCGACCTCGCCCTGGATGATGTTCAGGATGGCGATGTAGCAGTGGTTCGGCTGCTTCTCTCTCCCCGTGGACACCATGACGTTCTTGGGTTGCAGAAGCCTCCTCATCACATCCAGCACTGTGGTCTTCCTCACACTAGCGACCTGAAGCACAGTGCATTTACGGATTTAGAAAGTCTGAATCTTAAGGACATTTAGCATTAACTAAGCACTTTCAATATATTAACTGTAAGCAGGTTTTAATGCCCCTTTAATTTAACTTTTTGCGCCAATCCAAACTCACCGACTGGTCAGTAGTAAGAGGTGTGTAGCCAGTCATGAGGAAGTGGAGGCGGGGCGTGGGGATGAGAGATGCGATAAGGCCAATCAGGTCGTTGTTCATGTAGCCCGGGTAACGCAGGGTGGTTGTGCTTGCAGACATGATGGTGGAAACCTGTGTGTGAAGAGTTTATTACACACATAGCTTGAAATCAATGATATCTTGTAAGATCTTACAAATGAATGACTTAGAGCTAGCCATATCAAATTCATTTATCAATTCTGCACAATGTGTACAATTCCATTCTCAAATTGCCTTTTGCAGGAAAAATAATCCAATAAAAACTTGAAAAGGTTACATTATTTCCTTTCTTGGCCAAATTCACTAGCCCTAAAAAGAGAGCAGCCTAAATTTCTAACTGTCTAAACGTGGCTCCTGTCGAGCACGCTGATACCATTAGGAAAAGGCAGCCATGTGCAACTCATTTCCAAGAAAGCAGAAATCCAGTCTGACGTGCAACGGACTCGCCAAACTAGTTTGTGAATCTTGTAATTTTTTAAGTGAGCGACATGCGTCTGGTACAGCCTGTCTCGACGCTTCGCCTTTGTTTGAGTACAGTCAGGTAGTCTAGAAGTATAACTAAAACCTGCTGACTGACAAGCGAGAGAAAACCCCTGGAGGTGGTTGCTCTGGGTGACGCCTCTCACTCACCAGCTGATTGATCTGGGAGAAGGACGGGTTCTGGATGTGCAGGCGGTCCGTGGCGATGCGATTTAGAGCCGTGTTATCCAGCACCACCTGATTTACAACACACAGAGAAATGAGGAGAGATTCCTTCCAGCACAACAACACACACAGCCAGGATGCTAGAGAGAGTAAGACGTTAATGAGTGTTAAGCAGCAGCACAGTGCACTGTTGTTGGGGGCAGAGCTGGATATAAAAGACACTCTGTGCGTTTGCAACAGGGGGAGCGATTCTTAGGCAGATTCTATTAGCTCTCCGGCTAATTGAATCACCATGAGGGCCTTATGCAAGATCCCGCAGGAAGTAGGTATTACAGAGGGAACACCATTAAGCTGTTAGAGCATCGCAGACTAATACAATCAACTATTTAAGACTGAGGTTTATTACGTTTGATTGCTGGCGCTGCAGTTCCCTTCTTTATTAGTGTGCTGCACATTTGAAGAAAGTGAGATTTTAGACAAATGAGGGGGAATGACAACATGAAATTATGTCAGCTGCTTTAGAAATGGACTAGTGGAAATGTAACTTCAAGTTTATATTAATAGAAGCCAATTCATTATAAAGCAACACACAGAGAGGGATGTTACGACCTTTCTCCATATTTGAGATTTCTTTTTGGGGTGTAACTTTTTGTAGCACATTACAATAAGACTACCCTTATAAAGGGTTTACAAATACTTTGTATTTCATTTATTAATTAGGCTGTGAACACTTTATAAATCATGAATAAGCTTTTATAAGACATGAGATAAACAGGGCAACTGTGACCGGTTGCTTTCCAAATAGTGAGCCCAGATTTATCTGTACTGCTAAAACCCCTAGATTCCACCGGGTCTGTCTGCGGCGTGTTACGTCGGCGCTCACGGCGCTCACGGCCACTCTAGTCAATGGGTGCTATTCCACCACACGCGGCGCGTTACAGCTCAGAAGCGTCGCAGAAGCGCCTCGGCGCAGGGCTCCTCTACAATTAGGATGAATCCTATCTTTGACGCGACGCAGCCGTAACGCAATGTCGGGCAGGCAGGAAGTGGAACGTTCAGAGCATATAGAGCACATATATATATATATATACATACATCTAATTTTGCAGACCCTATCCCTCCGTAGTCTTTCAAGTAGGAGAATAAATGCCAGTGTTCTCCTCCAGTTTACAGGCACTGTGTAAATTATATATAGAGTAATTATGATGATGAATGCATTTTTTGACCACTAAGAATTATACAGCAACACATCTTTGATTCATGGTCGTTTATAACTGGAATATTCATTATTATTAACTTTGTTGTGTTACAAAGTGCCTGTCCAGGAAATATGCCCAAATCAACAAAAACTGCGAGCCGGCAGGCAAGACGCTTCCGCTTCTGAATGCTTTCTGAAACGGCCCGGTAGGGTATAGACGCCGGAGGAGGCCGAGCCAAAACCGTCTGCTTCATCAGCCAGCATCCTTGGTATCCTGTTGCTACAGAGTTGAATTCTCGCTGCAGTAGGCCAATTTAAGGCCTTGTCATTTTGCCAAATGTGAGCCTTAGATTGTTATAAATGTTCCTTAAATGATTACTTAATAAAGTGTTCCAACCTAATTATAAACCCGTTTATGAATCTCGCTTATAAGGGTAGTGCTTATTCGTAAAGTGGTTACCAACTTTTAAATCTTTGAAAACAAATCAAAACGCAGCAAAATCAGGTGAATTATGGCATTAGGAATGTATTCATGTAGGATGTCATTCGTCTTGTGTGTTATTTCACGGCTTGCTGCTTTTTGACCTTTCAATGTTTCGTCAGACAACAAGCGGAAGGCCAAAATGTTATTACAGCTGTGACATCACGTTCGTCATTTTTCTGGCACTTTTTATGTTTTTAGTTGTGCTGTTCCAGGCTCATTGCTAGGTGGAGAACAGTTTGGCTTACCCAATGTTTTATGTCGCAATTTGGTTTGCCGGGGTGACACATTACAAGTTACCGGGAGCCTGTTACAGGGATAATTTTGTTTTTGCGCATCCGTCTGTGAGGTTAGTGTGATCCATGGCAGCCGTTCTTAAAGCGAACAGGCGCAGGTGGGATTAATCAACTCTCATTCAGTAGCTCCTCTGTCACCACGCAGTCTGCGTTCTGCGTGAGCCTCTTCAGGCGTGAGNTACGTAACATTATATAATGACTGTCACCGAGTCATCATTTTGAGAAAAAGGCCTTCAAAGTTTCCTCTTCTCTGGAATCCATCGATCTGATTGATTATTAGCGGAGCAAATGATCAAAGTACTACGGAGGGAAGATATTTTTGTTTGGATTGCTGGTCTGGGGGAAGCTCGCGAGTGTGTGTATATATACGTGTGTGTGTTTGTGTATTTTTGCGTTTGTGTTTGTTTCCCCGGGGAAAACACTCACGAGAAACACCGGCTGTTGTTATGCCTGCTGTGACGTTAAGTTACTCCGTACTCCGTTTGTAATTGTGCCGTTACAAGTTGTATTTATCATCTGAATTTGCAAGTTTAATATTCTGAAAGCCAATACTTTCTTTATTTTAAATCAGATGAAAATAAACTGTAATTGACCCTGCAGTGTTATCTAAGATTACTATACGCCTTACATTCATAATGTCAGCCGGAGGGAGGGGGGGCGGCGCTGCGGAACAGCAGAGTGGCGAGGGAGAGCTGTCATCTTCCCTTTACAAGCTTAAAGAATGTATTTATCGTGTGATTTTGGAAATAAAAGTTTCTTATTCTGAAAGCCAAGACTTTGTTTGTTTAAAATCAAACAAAACACCCGAACAACTATTTTTTTTACACAAATCCACGTTTATTTTTCAATGAGCCGTTGCTACTTCCGACCGATTTGGATAGAGCGGGTCACATTTGAGGTTCGGGCTTCAGTTCTCGTAAGAGTTTAAGTTACCATGTAATGTTTCATCACACAACAATATCAGGTTACTTTTCAATCAGTTTTGAAGATGCTCTACAGCCACAGCCCTGTCCCCCCTGCCTCTGGGTTATGGCTAGAAAGGATCCGTCGTGTGTAAAACTCTCGCGAGAGTTAGCAAGTCACGTGGCTGAATGTTTACGTTTGGCAGGCAGCCTTTCTGTTAACTAACATCAGTGGGCCACAGCAAATGATGGTGAGAAGCTAAACTATCTATTAATTATGTCAATTACAGGGAGTGTGATTGTTGAAATAGGGTCCGCTCCGATTACAGCGAGAGTTACAACGAGAACATGACGTCATATTTACACAAGACGGATCCTTCCTAGCTATAACCCTGCCTCTGGGACAGTCTGTATGTGATAAACAGCGACTTGCCTCCAGACTGTCACTGCCATCGGCCTCCCGGTCAATGATGTCAAAGATGTCTTCTTGGATTTTTTTGCCCTAGACAGAAAGAAAAAACAGCAGACTTAACTTGCGATCTGGTTTTATTTCTAAGGGTTAAAGATTGACATTTATTTTTGTGATTACCTGTGAATATCCACTCGCCCAGTTGTTCCCCGCACCTCCGCCATGCTCAGAGAGGTAGATGTTCTCCGGGTTGTAAAGGTTTGCGTACGGGGAGTTGAGGATGGAGTGGATCACCCTCGGCTCCAGATCCATGAGGACTGCCCGAGGGATGTAGTGCTCATCGTCAGCCTGGGGAGTTTCATGAAAAAACAGGAGTTAGCTAGTGATGAAGTGTAGAGTCCTGCGTTTGGCTGCAGGAACAAGGCTTTAATCCAACTACTCCATCTAGTGGCAAATAATGTTGTTGCAGTGGAAGCAATACATCAACCCACATACACATGAGGTGTTGAGAAAAACAAAACAATAAGCAATGCCAAATAGAAAAAGACACCAAAAAATATATATAGTAAATATAAATTAAGTAGAAGTAAAGACGGGAGTGTATGACAATATGTTTTGTGGTAAATACACTGTTCTATTTCTTGTATTCATAAATCATTTTAATAGAAAATGCATTAAGTTCTTCATAGCGATGATCATAGCAACCACATGTGACGTTTACAGTGGTGTAATGTATTGAAGTACATTTACTCAAGTACTGTAGCTACGCAATATTTGGGGTGCTTTACTGAAGTATTTTCATTTTATACTACTACTACTCTTAGTTACTACTAACTTTACATATTCACATTATAAGCTATTACACAATACAAATAAACTAATACAACTATAGGTTGATAATAATAATACATTCTTCCTGGTGCTCAAAGACACTAAAAAAATTACAATTAAAAAAGTGAATGCAGGATTTGATATGTTTTACGAGACATAAGGGCAGGAATTCAGAGGGAAAGGAGCAATTTTGAGCTCTGCTCTTAAAAACGGCTTTTTTTTAAGGTCATACGTCAAACGCGTCATATTACATCACACAGGGGACACATCTCCGCTCTCTGACCGCGGGTATAGTAGAGTTGCGTTGAGTAGAGCGGTTGTGTTTTAAGGAGCTGGTATTTTTCGGTAGTTTTACATTGTATTTCACCATTTGTAATCATGGTGCAGTATTGTGTTTGTGCAGGTTGCAAAAATACCAGCCTGTCAGGACATCGAGTCCACAGTAAAAAGGACCGGAGCTAGCGTTCGTTCCTGGGTGCGTTGTGCATCCACCTCCCTGCAGCACATACTCTCCACAGCTTTATCAGGAAACCGTATTACTTCTCTCTCCCCCCCCTTCGCTGCTCTCTCTCTCTCCCCTCCGGTACACAGCACCGTAAGACATAGTATAGAGTTGCATTAGGTAACGCTGTGGTGGCTGTACTGCTCCAGCCGTCTCCTTTGTGTTTGTTTGTTTCCCCCTGTCTGTGTTGTTTGTGTGTGCGTGGTGGCTGTCACTCCTGGCTCCCGGCTCAACCTCCACTCACCTGCTGCAATCAGCTGTGCACCCTCCCCGACTACACACCTGCTTTCCATCAAGCCATTTACAACGGCATATCAACGGAGGCTCCACAACCTTTCTCCGCCAGATCGTCAAGTATCAGCCGTATCTCGCGTCTCTCCTCCGGTAAACAGCACCGTAGTGTGAAGTTGCATTAGGTAACGCGAGATACGGCTGATACTTGCGCATTAGTTTCTGTTATGGATCAGTATCAACAGTCCTGCCAGTAACGTTACTATATTATCAATGCTACTTTAGTTATAGCCTGATATATGATAGCTAACTTTACAATGTTGTGATGTGACGTTAGCTAACATTCTGTCACGTGCCGAGGCTTTTTTATGCGGAAGTGAACATTTCTTACAAAAACGACGCCAGATGTCACTGTAGTGTATATTTCTGTATATTTTT